AATTTATAGGAAATATATCTGGAAATATAAAATATAAATGTAATTTTCTTGTCTATGTAACACAAGTACACAGAACATAAATTGTAATTTAGAATGTTGGAAAATATTTGTCAGAAAGTATACTATAAATTATAAGAAAAAATGTAATGAGTTTATTAAGGACAATCATATATTAATTATTGGTCGCCAAGAAAATAATCTATTAGAAAGTTTTCTGTGATAAATTGGAAAAACACGAGAAGCAGTCCGAAGAGAAAGCACGGAGTACTCGAGAGTCGTGACATGTGAGTCTTTGAGACTAGATACCTTTACACTTTTTGTGCAAATCCTCGATGGTACCCGGGTTCTCAATCTGACTGGACGCTTCGGTAGGCGTATAAATATCCGTTGACGGATCCGATTTCCCTAAATTCGGCAATAATCCGGGACCCGGTGGCGGAGGTGGAGGAGGTGCGGAGGCAGCCATCGCGTTTCCCATTATTATAGTCTTGTTAGTACAAGATTGAATCTGTCACGCGAAAATTGCTTTTAATGTTTTTCGTCCAATCGTTCGACCGAATAAGTCGTGCCGAACGTTTCAATGTGTATTTACACAAGAAAAACAGGCCGGATCACTCTTTACGGGTTATACGGTACGGCGTGTTTCACCGTGGGTTGCCATTTGTAAAAGATAACCACAAAATTTCTTTAATGAATGTGCTCGGCGCGAGTGTAACGCAGGGATACCAATGCACGAAAAAATTTTCATAGAATTATATAGGTCTGTTCAAGTTATTTCTCGCCGAGCAAATGAACATGATTCATTCTGTTACTTACAGGAGGTCGATGTGTACCTTGAAATGAGGTGAAAATTACAAAAGTGAACAACTTCACTAGAATATTCATAATTTAATTGGTCAATACCTAATAATCATTGCTCATTTTTGTAATTTTCACCTCATTTCAAAATACACAATCGAGCCCCAGATTCAACCAATCGTATTCAATCGCTCGCGAGTAGGCTAGCAACTTTGTTCGGCTTGAACGTGTATAATTATAGATGTGTTTGCGTTGCATGAATCTTCAAATATTTTTTCACTTAAAATGAGATAGATATATATTTGGCCTTAAAAAGAGAGAAAGCGAAAATGCCGAGTGCAAAAAGTGCAAGCAACGCAAACAGGAGCGGCCCTATTCTTGAAAAGAAACTTATACGAAGTCTAGGAAAATACTATATACATATCGTATACTGTAACATTTTCCTAGACTTTCGTATACGTTTCTTTTCAAGAATAGAGTCTCAAGGGATCGATTCTATATCTTGAAACGAGGTGAAAATTACAAAAGTGATCGAATTTACTAGAATACTAATAATTTCATTAGTCAACATCTAGTAAATTTGCTCACTTTTGTAATTTTCACTTTGTTTGAAGATACAGAATCGACCGTCTGATCTTTACGTCAACTTTATGCTTTCTAAGAAAAACTATGGTTGCGTTTAGCAGAAAAAGCAGCTTTGCAATTATTGTAAAATTCTGTAATATGATTAGTCTTGTCTTTAGTTTCTCACTAGATTTAAATGTATAAACCAATCATTTCTGTGGCTGAACTAGTGTACACTTTTGTAATTTCAAATGAGATAGGTATATGTGATTTGATATTTGTCAAAAACGAAAAAGAAAGGTCCAGTGCAGTCCCGTGCAAGAACAGAAAACAGTTAACAGACCATATGTTGATGTAGCTATATATGTCGTTATTAAAGATAAGGTTATTAAACTGATCATTACATTTCCATCGAGTGTATGGAGTGGGGGACAGTACGCAACAATAGAATTATCGTGATTCGCGGGGATTCGAAAAACAAATAACTTGGCCTACAGCCTATACAGCTAGTGTGTAAAGTGCGTTATCGAACGAACGTTCCTCTGTCGTCTCGCGAATGTAAAGTAATATTTTGTGCCACAGAAGGAACAGTATAACACGTATGTGAAGAAAGAGCTAATCTTTCGGCTGTCATTATTCTGGAATGTAAGTATATATGCTCTATATATATATATAGAGCGCATATCACGACGCACCGAAAGTGGCATTTTGCTCCATCAAATACGCGTTTAGATATCACACGTACTTTTATAAAGATGAAATCACACGATTTCTTGAATGATAAGCATGCACACATGCATGCTGCTATGCTTGCTTTGATGCATACAGATGTTTGATAAATAACTATGAAATTAGCAATTATTTCTTTTGATTAGTGCATGCAAGAAAATAAGCTATGAAATAATCTATAATAAATATCTATAATAAAAATCATTTATATGCAGCATGCAGCTCAATGTATGAACGAATTCTAGCATACATCAGGGCAGGCATTGTTGCATGTTATATTCAAGAAATCGAGTATCCTGTGTCTATCTTTACTTTCATGGAATGTTATCAATAGAAGTAGTATATTAGAATTGATAAAATGATGTACACAAAGAATACATTACCAACAATTGAAGCAACATTTGGGCATATTTTTAAAAAATTTGATAAGTGTTGCACATTGTTAAATTATATCGCAGTGTAATACTTTTCTGAATTTTTAGATAAAAAACATATGGATTGCTGTTTTACCAATCAATATGAGAACTCTCAAATTAGAGAGACATTCCCAAATGTCTCTAGTCCAGAAATGTTCGATAGTGATACCGAAAGTGATACATATAAGAAAAACGTTGAGGCATTAACCGATGACGATAGTACATTGGCAATGATTCCTCCTCAAGAACCTACTCAGGCTGAATTGATTGCAAAATCAGATAATTATATGCTGGTTAGAATTAATAAGTTTTTGAGTGGTGTCCCACCTCCGCCAAGACATACGACATGCCAAAGTGATTGTTCTGATTTTCTACAACACATTTATGAAAATCGTCGATTGTTTTATATTGGATGCCCATTATCCAATGGAAGTTCAGAAATTACGGAAAGCATAAAGCAGCAGAGACCCATAGAAACTAAGAATATTTCCTATCAATGTACAAAAGGTACTCCAAGGAATTTGACTAATGCTTTTGATGCTTGTGATTTGTCAGCTGATAGTGCCGAAGATACAAAATTAGGCATAAACAATAATGATTGCGATAATTTGAATGTACAATATAATGTTCCTAAGGAGATAAACAATTCATTTAATACGATTAAAGAAACAGTTACAATTCTATCAGGACAAAACTCAGACAAAAACTCAGATTTATCTCAGGAACATTCTCCTCTTCTTTATCATACGATTGGTGAAGAAGAGGCTAAAGCTTTAACATGGCCTCAGGCTTATTCTCACAAGTTCCATGGCATATAGTGAGTTCAATTTATTACAGCTTTTAATTTATAGTATAATTCTACATAAAGTATAATTCTACTTTTTAATGCTATTTTTTTTTTAATTTCAGTTATAACAGAAGCAGAACTGTAGAGGAGTTTGAGAATTTAACAGTTAAATTGTGTGAAAGATACATAGGAGCTGAGACACAATCAACTTGTAACATATGGTTTTCCAAACAACCACCAGGAAGTGCCAGGAAGCGAAGTTTATTGATGAAACACAGAAATGGTCAAAGTCCAGAGAAGAGATTGACGCATTTAATCAAAAGACGTAGGACTTTCTGTAGCGCTAACTTGAAAGGATTGGGAGTAATCACTGATAAAAGGCAGTTAATGATACCAATTA